GATGACTCTATGTATAAGTATAGATGATTATATTAGAGCGTATTTATAAATTAAGTTGTATGATTTTTATGGAAAAAAAATAAGAAAAATAATAAAATTACTATTTATGAGCTGCATTAAATGCTGACCTATTTTTTTTGCTACTAATTTAGTAATTAGGATGACTCTTTATATAAGTATAGATATAGATTTGTGTTATAAATGTGTTTGCTACATTGAGAAAAGAAAATCACAACTGAAATTTTTTTGCTACTGTGTAATCTTCTGTCTCCAATCAGATAACCATCTAGTCATGCTCTCTTTAAAACTGTATTCAACTGGTACATAATTCACACAAAGAAAAAAGGAAAGAAGAATGCACACCTTTGAGCTTCCACTTTTGTAAAGAGTTGTATCAATCATGTCCATGAACATGACCCATGCATGCATGCATGCTGCTTTGTGTTGATTTTTTTAGTTATCAAAATTTTTGCTAATTGTTTGGTCGGACTGTTTAAATCATATTTAACCATGGCGTCTTTTTTATGATGGTTTAAAACACTCAAGAAAATAGCTACTTGCTCACTTGCTTGCACATTTTGACTACTTTCTAATTTACCAACGTGCTCTAATGGATTACATAGTCGGCCAAATGCATTTATATCCATACAGAGTTATTTGACACATGTTTTGTCGCAAATGCATATTAGCTCTTGCAAATGTTCTACTTGCCTAGGTAGTCGATCCGACATTTTAAAGTAACTCCGGTCGCTTGTGTTACGGATTCTAAGACGCCTTTTGTTGTTTTCAAAAATACTATTGCAACAAAGTCAAAGCACAATAACAACGTTCAAGAGATTAGTTACTTCCTCAACGAGCATGATAACTTCAAGTTCCTCCATTTCAATGCCCATCGCGTACATCAAATATCTAATACATAGCCAATCGTGAATGAGTGCTCAAATCACGTTAATTCTTTTTTAATCAACACAAAAACACATATTAAAAAACACATATTAAACTGTACCAAAAAAAAA